AGAAGACCCCGACTAATGGAACCTGATCGAGAACTGGCCAGACGTATTCTGCGTGCGATGGAGGTGATCTTTACTTTCTTGGAATCGGAACTGCTACGTCTTATGGAGTGGGTTGTTGGGCAGGGCCCAATGTAAGTTCAAGTCCTTATATCTCGATGTTGACGAGCATACTGACAGCTATTCAGTCAAGGGATTGGGGTCCTAGCGACTATCGAGAAGTACTCTGCTGAGGTTGGCCAGTCCAACCAAGAGTATGTGAACACACTCTTGCAAAAGCTTCATGGGCACTTGGAACTCCGATTCAAGAAATTTGTTGACGAACAGCTTCGGGCCATTGAGGAGACCAAGGTCAAGATCAGCAAGCGAAAGGGTGTTATTGCATTCATCCGGCTTTTCCCTGTTTTCTCAGCAGCCGTGGAGGAGATGCTGCTCGGTGTCGACACTACGCTGCCGATTCGAGGTACTGTTGATCGCGAGTATGACCGAATACTCAAGACCATGTTCGACTCACTCATGGTCATTGCGCGAGAGAACCCCGGCGTCAGTGCGACAAGTGGTGCGGTAGATCCAGAAGACAAGGAAGCTCTCAACTTCCATATCCTCCTAATTGAGAATATGAACCACTTCCTTGAAGAGACGGACACACGAGGCTTGGACGTGCTCGAGGAATGGAAGGAGAAGGCCAATACGACATATTACGAGCATATGAATCTGTATCTTGATGCAGTTATGCGGCGACCTCTCGGAAAGATTTTGGAACACCTCGAGAACATGGAAGCTCAGTTGCAGACAGGCAAGTCGCCGGCATCCATTGCTGCGCAACCTTCCAACAGCAAGACGGTTTTCAATAAGGTTTTGAGCAACTACGACTCCAAGGAAGTGCGAAAGGGTATCGAGGCGCTGCGTAAACGTGTTGAGAAGCACTTTGGCGACGCCGATGAACCAGGGCTGAGCCGAGGATTAGTGATCAAGGTGCTGGAAGAGTGTGAAAAGTTCTACGAAAAGGTTGAGAGACGGGTTGGTGCTGTGACGACCAACGTATATGGTGGTGATGTCCTTTTCGAGTGGCCTCGAGCCGACGTCAAGGCTGCTTTCCGTTAAGTTTGGTGTTTAGAGCGAATGGGAACATGATGATGAACTTGCTGTACGATTACTATATTCTCAGGTATATTTGCATGCTTGATCGGCCTTGGGTAGTAAATGAGGCGCGTTTCGTGGTGTCGAGCGTTCTGAGGTATGAACTTTATATATCTCGGTATATTTATTTTTTATATGATGCTTGGCCTTTGAATCTACCTTATCATAGAGTTTCCTCCGTCTTATACTATTCTTCTAATTATAGACCTAATTACTGAAGCGCGTTCGTTAATTGACCCCACTACTTTACGCGACAAGGCGCGTCGTGACCTTGGACATACAGGGAAGCAACGCCACATAACGCCCTTGGGCCCTTGTAGCTCCACTTCATCGTCGACATTACATCGAAGTTGCCTGAATATATCATGCTCATTTACTCCACGAACAACATGTCGACTTTCATATGCTGCTTTACTTGAATTCAAGCCTTGAAATTATTGTATTACTTCGCCGAACGACTTTAATACCGCAATAATGACACCCAAAACCCGCTCAGGCGGTAAACCCGCACCAAGTCGTGTCTATCATTCAACGCCCGCGCAACAGCAAGCACAGTTCCCAGCGCGTAGAAGAATTGTTCGAACATATGGAAAGCAGAATCGGAAGAAACAGGCGGAAACACCCTCGAGACTTTTGCGACAACAAACCTTAACTCAAATCGACTTTGTGTCGAGCTTTGAAGGGAACGAGGACCCGATCGTCCTAAGTGATAGTGAACAAGATGAAATGCAGTCAGACAAGGAAGAAGATGAAAATCGGAAGGACGAGGAACAAGAAGACCAAGAAGAGGATGAGGAACCTGTTTCAAGCGGGCGGAAACGACGAGCAAAGGCGAAGAAGACATCCACAAAGAACGAGCGAGCCAAAAGAAGACGGACATTAGGCGATGATACAGAGGAACAACCAAAACCGAAAATGGAAAAGAAATCGAGCCGGCGTAAGACGATGGGAGATGCACCTAGTTCGGCCTACCATACACAGACCTTGACCCAGTTCCTCGGTCGCGATCCAGCCCATGTCGAGTTTATCAAGGATTCTGAGGATGAGGATGATGATGATGATGACGACTTCCAACAATGGTTGGGCAATCCGGCTAGTCCAAGTCCTCGGAAGACCCGGAAACTGAAGAACATTCCGCCTGTCAAGCATCAGAAGACTCCAAAATCCATATTGAAGCGCAGGCCAGAAGAGGTAGCTCCTCAACGGGAAGAGTCAATTGTGCCTCAAACGCCCCAGAAGCAGACGCCGCATAAGAATGTTCAAGTAACAGAAATACCTTCTTCGAGCCAATTGTCTGCGCCGCCCAGCATATCGTCCACGCCTGCTAGCATGATGATGGAACGCTATGGCCCACCAGACCGTGCTAATCCGTCACCTGTTAAAGGAAAGACATCTTCGCCAGCGAACCCATCTCCGCTCAAGGAGCTAAGGGGAAGACCTAAGACAACATCATCGCCTCGAAAACACGAGCGCATCATCCAGGATTCTTACGCAACCGACAGTTGGGGGTCGACTAATCGTACACCTCTCAAGGAACTGCCCGTGGATTCGCCAAATAAGACACCAAGAACGCCAAAAGGTGTTATTGAACCACTTGAAACATCGTCTTCTTTGATGGATGAGTTGGAGACGCCTACAAAGTCCAAAAGGAGGAGGAGTACTGAACTCGGACGTCAAAGGAGTGGTAGCCCCACACCAAGAATGAAGAGAGTATCACCAGGCAGTGGCAAGAAGAAGGTTATGCTCGAGATTCCTGACTCTGAAGATGAGGAGGATGAAGAATTTGGAGATGAAAACGATGAGAACACACTCGTTGCTGGTGCTGAAACGCAGCTCGTTATGAGCGAGATTGCTTCATCTGAGGAAGAGATCATGAGGGCATCCTCCTCTTCTGTGCAAACGACGAGTGTTAAAACTAAACGACAAGCCGTTGCGACCATTTCTTCAGAGGAATCGTCTGACTCAAACGCTCAAGCATCAACCTCATCACTCCCTCCTCTGAGTTCCCGACCTACCACGCTGCCCCCTACACTCCCTCCCCTTTCAGCAACTCCCCAGGCCAAGAGCCGTCCTCGCCCAGCAAAGCGTGCTCGCAAACCTATTCATCGTCCTCTTCCACCAACTCAAACTCAGCCATTAGAGTCTCAGCGTGTACCTCTGGCAACCCTTCAAGCATTACCTCCTGCATCTGCTCGCACTGACGTGCTGTTGTCGCTGCCTCAGGACATTATTGATGATGTGATAGAAGGTTATCAAGTTGATCTCATACTCAACTTTAAAATACCAGCACAAGTGGTTCGCTTCTGGCTGTACGATGGTGAGCTACTGCGCTTTATGGCTTGCGCTGACCCTGGACGTGTTACTGAAGGTCCAGCCTGGCGTTATCACCTAACTCAAGTTTATGAACTGAACAACCCTGTTGAGGGAGATGACATGCGGGAAGAGGGCTGGATCGACGGTGACGTTGCTCGCTATGTCTATTTCCCACCCGCTGTCGTAGGCCAGCTGCTCTGGAACTTGCGACATGCTCTCTTCAAGGAGAATACATCAGGAGATGAACCGACACAGACTCAAGCTACAGTTGACGAAGATGACGGTGGACGGGTTGATCTCTTTGCCAACTCTTCACAACCTCTACCGGCGGACAAGACGCCAGCTCCTTCATCAAGCATGAGCGTGTCACAGCAAGTTGAAGCTCAACTCAAGAGCGACTTCGCTCAATCAACCCAATTCCCAACTTCGGACGATATTCTTGTCCCCTCAACTCCCGAGGAAGAAAATAACAACAATGAAAATACAACTCCTCCGACCACTCATGTCGCTTCTTCTCCCACAACTATCAAACCTCCTCCCCGCCGTACCCCCTTTGCAGCATCTTCTTACCGCGCTACCCGCCCTTCACTAAGCAGCGCTTCTAAACGACCTGCCGTCCGCCCATCTCAGGCAACTACCGTCTCCCAGTCTTCCACCCCCGAGCAACACTCGTCCTCTATTCGCCGTCCACCGCTACACTCATCCAGCAGTATCGGCCTTCCCGAGGGCCTTTTAGACGAGGATGATGACGATGATGTTCTGCGTCTGCCATCGGGATACAATCCAGGCTCGTCGCAGCTGCTGACAAAGAGCCAGATGCTGCCGGACAGCTTGATACGTGACGACACAAGGGTTCCGCCTGAAATCTGGGACTCGGATGATGATGATGATGATGAACGATTGTAGAATTTCGGCATGAGTCTTTGATTTATTTCTGTGTTTTCTGTATCTTTTGTTCCAGGTTAAGTGCAGGATGCGTATAAAGGAAGGACGTAGGATAGCCTCGTCTTTCACTTGTTGGACATGTATGTATGTATGGATGGATAGCTGAACTGTAAGCTTTGGAGTTCGGAGCATCAACTTAACTATATTCTGCTATCAATAATCAACACCATGAAACACGAATGGTATTTATGCAGCCACTGTGTAGTGAGACAGGGATAGACACAACACACTATTTCATCTCTATAACTACTTTGCCTAAAGGCGGTATCTTAATCATTGCCCCGTCTTTCCTTCACTGATCCTTGGGAAGAGGCTTCAAAAATATGCCATGCCGTTCCTGTGATTCTCATAAAAACAAGTCCTGCGCCGTCCCCCAAGCCATGCAATATTGTGTTACTGTGGGCGCCACGTAAGATGCCCTGTCTATTTCCATCATTCCGGTCCATCGTGGGGGCGTATTGTTTCATCAGGGGCATCAAGCGAAAATAAAAACTTTTCCTGCCAGGTCGTCCAAGAAAAGAATATCGTTGTCATTGTTCTGTTGCTCAGGTGCCATGAGAGGCCCTAGGCATTGTGTCGTGCAGTACTTCGTAAAATAAACCAATCTACGACAGATGGAACGCTCCCTGGCCTTCCTTGACTGCTGTAAAAAGCTGCTTCCTCATGATCTCAATGGTAGAGTAGTCCGGAAGCTTCAAGTAGTTGACACACGTCATGACACTGGGAAGGTAGTCGTCGGACGTATAAGGGTGTTCACTGGGTTTGCAGACCACAGTAAACATGGGTGTCAAAGACTTGAATCCTAGGGAAAGTTAGATATTAACCATGGCCGCCACGAGGCGAAACATACCTCCGATGGGAAGCTTCGGACTTCCAGTTGTGAACTGTAAGAAGTCACGGCGTTGCGAAGCATCGAATTCGCTCATTGTGTGGAGCAGATTCTTGACCGTCTTGCTATCCATGTTGAAACCATGATCTGCCTTTATCGAGTCAAGGAGAGCTAATAAAAGGTTAGCATACATCACAATAAGATTGTAGGAATATACATACTCTCAAGTGACCAGTCCTCGTCTACACGACCAAACAAGGTGACAAGCTCATCTGGTGTGAAAGCACTGAGCGCCGAGTAGGGGAATACCTGTGAGAACCCAGCACGGAAGGCATCGACTTGGCGACGAACACCAGATCCAAGAGTCATATCAATGACCTTCTCCAGATACGAGTCCACATTGTCAATAGTGACGCGTTTCTGAGAGCCATTATCCTCTAGTTGAATATTAGGATAACCGGGCAAAGTGAAGTCGAGACATAGGTCATCAAGTTTGACGCCATCGATAGTAATGTTTTCTGTATCGGCAACCTTTTGTGCTGGTGTACGATTAGGATCCTCGTCGATTTCCTTCTTGGCCAAGGCAAATTGCTTGATGGCCTTCAAGGAGCGGGCAAGGCCAGGGTCGACAATTTTCACAGCCCCCAATGATGGCTTAACTCCAGACGAAACTGCATCTCCGATGCGGAAGAAGATGGGGTTGAAGTGAAGGTCAATGATTCGGGAGTCGATCATGGATCGCGCAACAAACTTTCCAAGCATCTTAAAAAGATGCAGGATCCGCTCTCCATTTGGTGTCCCAGCCTCCTCATCACTCTGTGGTCGAGGGAAGAGTCCGGTGGCTCCAGAAACAAACTCATCGGAGCCGCTCGAATCAACCTCACGCCATAGTTTGAGCTTCCTCTTTGAGAACTCTTTCGAGACAGTTGAGTAGAACTCAAGAGTGGGACCAAGACCAGTACCCACTTCCTCGAAATACTCAACTTCTAGGATACTCTGTGAAGCACCATATAGCTCCATAACTTTCAAGGCCGATTCAAGGATCTTCTGACGTGATATCCTAACCTTTTGTCGCTGAAGGCGACCGAGGAATGGCCGTTCGTTATTTCGATCTCTTCGGTTATCCTCCGCAGACTGGGTATTCTGCCACCGAGCCATTGATCGGGCATATCCGAAAGATGTAGATTGGAGGAATAGATGTCGAGTCTCGAATGGGAAGAGGAAGGGATAAAGGCGAGCCAAGTCCTCCGCCCAACTGGGTAGACAGTTGCTGGCAACAACCAGGGGCTCTTCCAACTGACGATTCAATTTCGCCGTGAGTTTGGTATTGATGAACTGTGACAGCGGCTCAACATTAAGACCAATAACGCTATTCTTTTTCTCAATCAAAACGTCCTCAATGTTTGAGTTGAGGTCGTGAAGAATGTTCAATAGGCGTAGAATTGATGACGTTGTGGGGTTTTTGGCAAGCGAAGCGGGAATTCCATGCTCGTCTTCGCCATCAGCTTCCGTGTTAGAAGAGAATGAAAGAGATTCCGTAGGAGGTGGTCCAGGTACACGCTTGAACTTGATTGGGTGCACAGTCGACCAGATGCTTCTGCTTAGATGCTCATCCGAGTTAGAAGCGGAAGTATGGACAGCGCGATAGATGGTAGTCTCATTGGGGATCAGCTTGTTGTCAAGACTGAACTCGATGTGCCAGTCTTGGGGCACAGCCTGGAGAGCAGACGCATAGGACATCGGCCTCGACGATGACGATGCTGGAGTAGGTGTGCCTTGGGTGCCAACGGAGGGTCCACCCGCACGGCTAGGAGCACCGGATCCAGTTGGTGTCGCGATTCGAGTGCCATCTTCCTTGCGTGCCGTGACATGGCCGCCGGTAGCGACCTCCATGTTGACAGCCGAAGTATCCTCAGGCGTCGATTCCTCTTCCATGTCTTCTTCAAGTTCGCCGACAATGGCATCCAATGCACTGCTTTCTCCGACGTCTTCGTCATCAGTCAGCTGCTTCTCATCGGCGCATTCTAGTGTATCCTGCATTTCCTCATCATCTACGGGCGGAGGTCGAGGAGCCGGGGGTGTGTTAGCGGCACCATGCCGTCTTGAGGAGCGTCTAAGTGCCCCTTTATCGCGAGACGGTCCAGCATTTTGATCTGGTGTAGCAGGGGCAGCCTGTGACTTTGATTTGCGAAGTGCTCGGGAGCCAGATGGCGTTGGAGCAGCAGGCGGCGGCGGTACCGGAGGTCCGCTTGAGAACGGGCCTGATCGTTCAGCTGCTGCCAGGCGGGCTGCTGCTGCACTACTCAGAGGAAGGCCTGCACTGTTTGCCATAGCGGCAAGTGCTCGGGCAACTCCGTCCCGGCGGGCGGAGCCACGAGATCGCTCGTTGATACTGATTCTAGGTCGTAAATAGTCATCAAGGGATTTGAAAGTCGCAATGGCATGAATTGACACCATTATATTACGGTATGGTCGAGGTATTTCGGATTCATCATCGGCAACAAGACGAAGTCGAATTTGCTTTCCGAGCATTGAGGCGGGACTGCTGTGGTTGCCGTCAAATGTGTTATGATGCACTGTGATAACCTCAAAATGCTCTGACCTACTGAGCAAGTCCTGAAGCTTGTGAATCATGACGCTGAAAGGCGTCGCCGGAGATTCTGCAGTTGCAGTTTTTGGCTTCGACTTGACGGTGTATGCCATGAAGACTTCCAGGAACATTGACTGAGCGGCACGGGCCTGCTCCTCGTCAGGGTTGCTGAAGACCTCGAGAAGCACACGAACAAGGCCGGATGCTAGAAGTTCTGCGCTCGTAACACTATCCAGGACGTCGGTATCGAAATATGATGCAAGCTTGGTGAATAGTTCCTTTCCTTTATCGGCCGCAACGTTGCCGGGCATCGGTTTGAGGTAGAAAGTCTCAAGCTCACCAGCCAACTCTGAAAGAGCATCAAGGATTGCTGTTGCCTTGAGCTTCATAGCCTGGCCATGGCCTTCCGTCTCATGTGTCTCTAAGAACTTCTTGGCAACGTCTCGAGTTCGAGATTTCATGGATCGCACGTCGGAGACAAGACGATGGAGAGGGACCTCGAGAGACATGGTGGATCCCCGGGAACTAACAGGAGACATATCTTCATTCTGCGCCTCGCCATTCTCGTTATCATGCTCTTCGTCTTCGTCCTCCTCGTCATCAGAGGACTCGCGCTCCTCATCTTCCTCGTCTTCATCATGCTCAGATTCCTGGTCCGAGGACTGTTCGTTATCTTGTTCTGCTGCTTGTTCGCCCTGAGACTCCCGTTTTTCGCCCTTACCTGGCTTCTCTTCAACTGCATCTTCCTCCTCAGCAATCTTGGTGATCTCAAGGAAGACTCCCTCGCGGTAGAATTGATAACGGTAGATCTTGTCGAGTCGGCTTAGTAGCAGCTCGGCCGCTTGCAGGCCAAGCATTACCAGAGATGCGTGGTCTTGTTGCGAAAGAATAGATGCGAGGAAAGACGCATAAGGCACCGGAGTAAGTGCCTCAACTAAGATGTCCTCATCAAGATTCGAGAGCATCTTCAATTGCGCTGTGAGGACCTTCTGGCGAACGCTCAAGTTGACAGTACTGGAGAACGCGTCCGTCAAAGTAGGGAAGATGATAAGCGCAAAACGGCGGACTTCGTCTTTGCACTCTTCAAGAAGCTCAATGCGTTTTTCATTTGTAGACCTGCGGTTTCTTCCCCCACTGGATGCCGGGTTTGTGGGATCTGCAGAGGCTTGAAGTTCAACAAAATCACCGTACGACGGATCTGCGTTTCGTGGTAGGTTAGGTAATAATTCGCAAATAACATTGAGCGTTTCAATAATCTGCTCTCGTGGTCGATGGATAAGAGCCTGCATGATTACGACACTGTCCAGTTTGGAGGCAACATCTTCGGTGCCGCTAGGTGGTGAAACTCCGGTCAGGATTTGATACAATGTCTCTACAACGTTAAGCTTGAAGAGCTCTGTGGAAAGACGAGGGCTAGCTCGCGCAGTGAAGGCCAAGACTCGGAGAAATTGTGTATGGATACTGGAGCCGATCATGTTCGTCGTGCCGGGAACAAGAAGACGCAGCACACCTCGAAGAAGGTCGACGCTAACGAGTTCCTCAAGTTTGGAGGGATGGTACTTGAAACTCTCAACGATGCCGGAAACGCAAAGCGAGGCCTGTTCCACGACCCGCTGATCACTGCTATTGAGAACGTTAAGAAGCGTAGGCATTACATCTCGCACTACCGGGAAAGAGTCCTCGGGGATGTTGCGGCAACAATTTGCTGCGGTAGTAACAGCAGTTCTTTGCGTGCCGGTAGCAAAGAAGTCGAGATAAGACAGACAAGCAGTGAGGCCACCCTCACGAACAATGCTGGTAGGATATTCGACTGATATCTTCTCCAATGTGCTCAAGGCCTGCTCTGCCAAATCAATAAAAGAGATTTCGAGGAGTTTTTGACACAGGACGGGGACGGCGCTTCCATAGACGACGTTCGCAACACTGGCAGGCAAAGCCTCCATCAGATTTGCCAAGCAACGGCACGCGAGCAACATGATCTCCGGGCTTTCCTCCTTATTCATGAGGGAAACCAGCTCCTTGACATAGGCATCGGGCGAGAAGTGGCCAGAGAGGTTGTCTTCGTTGGAAACCAGAAGTATTTCTGATAGCTCTTGCAAAGCTATTAGCTGTACTGAGAGATCATCAACTCGCAGATTGTGAAGAATTTCCCGGAATCGAGATGTCAGGCCAGACATCATCCCTGTTAGTGCTCTAAGCGTACTGGATAGACTGCCTGGAGGGCCGCCAAATCCGCCGAAAGGATCGTCGTCATCGTCATCGTCGTCGTCGTACCTCCGTGATCCCTCTTCATCTTCGTCCTCGTCATTGTCTTCGCTATCGTCATCGTCGTGGTGATCGATAGGAGGAGGAGGAGGAGGAGGTGGTGGTCCTGGGTCTTTGTTCTCGTCGGTACCCGTCATCGGTGTATCTTGATCGACTGCACTGTCAAGGTTCCGTTTCGATCTTCGGGTGGTCAGAGTTGTACCAGATGAGGGCTCTACAGTCATTGTCAGTTCTGTGCTTCAAAAGAGCCAACTTATCCACGCGATATACAAACCTGATGGAGGTCCCGTGGCCTTTTTAGAACGGCTCGATTTTCTGCTAGAAGAACCTGAGGAGATGGAGGGCTCTGCAGGATGCGCAGATCCGGTGTGGTTATTACTAATATCGTTAATACATTGATTCTAGGCTCTTGACTACGGGCGCTTGGCGTCAAAGACTTACTCCGGGCTGTCCATATCAACAGCGGGCTTTCCCTTTCGCCGAGATCTGGATATGGCGTTGTTGTTATTGTTGGGGTTCGGAGGAAGAACGGCTTCGGGGATCTTTTGTCTCTTGGACCGTCGACCTGAAGACCCAGAGGGTAATGTGTCGTTGGGGCTCTTCTCGGCGGCGAGCCCTTTTCGCTTGCGGGAGGATGGGGTAGTAGAGGGTACGGTCGGGACGTCAGCAGCGGCAGGAGCAATATTGTTAGTTTGGGCTGCCTGACTCGCTGCTTGACGAGCCGAAGATCTGGTGATTCTAGAAGACATAATTGTCGTGAGCTTGACGATACATCTGGGAGTTAAGGCAAATAATGGGGAAGATGTGAAAGATGAGGTTGACGGATGTTGCACGGAAGATGGAGGGAGAGGAAGAAAGAGGAAGCACGAGCACGAGCCGTCGCTGAAAAAGCCAAATGCTTCAAAGACAGTGTTTGCTCTATAACAGCCTGGATTGTGACCAAGGATGACAGAGCTTCGTCAATGCGAAAGGCTATTAAACAGCTATAGCTAGCTGCAAGATAGTTTTCAGGCCAACGTCAAAAAGTCTTGGTCGACAAAAAGCGGTTGACTACAGACAGGCGTGTGTGCGAGCGGCTTGGGAAGTGTGAAATGCGTTTTGCGGTTTATTGTCTCGATGTGCGTGAATCAGCAACGTAGCAGAGCAGCCACAAGCCGAACAGCGGCACCACGGTCGGTCAGTGCTGGGATGACGAGAGTGTCTGTCCCGTTTGAGCGACGCAAAGAGCGGAGCGACAGGGTGAGTAACGGCCGAGACGGAGACGGAGACGCAGACGCAGGCAGATGATACGAGGTGAATAAGTGAGAAAGTGAAGTGCAGTGAAGTGACGGGTCAAGGGTGAAAATGGATAGCAGATGGGGGAAGGATAAAAGGGTTGGCCCTACCTATGGGCTGAAGAGACGGCGGAAGCGGGAGAGAGATTGGCAGTTGAGGTTGTCGAGGTAGAAGGAAGTCGCACTTCGTTATCACCTGCCGATGTTCGTTCTGCCATGCCCAGACGACCTACGCCATCAGGAAGGCAGCGGGCAGACGCGGGCGCGGCGGGGTCGTTGTTTCTCTCCGAAAGTCGAGAAGGCGATGAACAGATGACGAGAGCGATAGCGGGTTATCGATTAGTTACGGTGTAGAGATGATGTGGTTTAAGTATATGTCTCTGTGTTGCAGATGAGGCCAGACTTGAAGTTACAAAATAAAGTCCCGTCGAGAAGTGCCACTCTGAAGGTGAGAATAAGATGGAAGGAGGAGGAAGGTGAGTGGTGTTTTTTTGGGTTTTGGGTTTACAGATACGAGTCTTGTCTGGGGGAGAAGAGGGAGGATGATGGCGCTTCAATTGGATGGATGTGGTGGTTGACAGATGGTCAAGTCGGGTTGACGTGTGTGAGGTGGTCGACTCCACCCTGAGGACACTGGACACGGCTCGAGGCGAAAAACACATGCAGCACTGAGTGTATGGAGTACGACGTTTGCGATAAAGCTGGAGACTTGTCATGTATTCCGCAAGCTCAAGGCACTGTGATTCTGTTGAGCCAGCCTTATCGACTGCAAGCAAACATGCACTGTGTCGGCTTAGAGAGGGGCTGAGGGGCTTCTGTGTCTATCATGACTGAGTGGTCTCGTGCCGTTTCTGTTTTACTACATGATGCAGTTATCATCCCTTTTAGTCATAACTGTTGTCATGCATTCAACAACTATACTCATAGAGTTCTCTTTTATACGAGTTGATCTTGAAATTATATTCTGTATGTAAAAATACACAGTCCAACATAATTCAACATTCATGAAACAATATTATCAAGGTGCGGCTTAAGATCCGTTCTCAGTGTGGAGCGGCCCGCTTAGGTCCATAGTGGCGTCTATCACGCCTGCACGCTCAGTAAAGCCCACTGAAGAGGCCACGCTAATGAATGCGACAACCATCTCTACCTTAGCCATCAACATCGGATATTGCACGGCCAAATGAGCCAAGAGAGCCTCATACTACTTGACTAAAAGCTGATGTTGTTTTGATGTAAAACATATTCAGAGCACAAAAATGACGCGGCTGTCTGGCTCCGGCTCACTCAGGGTTATCATCATTCTCTGACGATTGATTCTGTCGCTGTTTTGATAATTCTGAGCTGCCCGCGTGACAATAAAGCACTTTGGTCTTCAGATCTCTCGTTGTACTAGACAGGATGGAGGAATTGGCTACCTTGGTATTTGCATAAGATCTAAGCTTATTATAGTTTTCAGCAAAACACCTTTGTTTGGCCATAATAAGCTCCGCGAGATATGCTCGAAACCAAAGTCATCTGGTGGGTGCACGCAACACATTACTACCTCACCCCCCTGGCTTGTAGTTCCATACCGACACCTACCGTCAACCACACGACATTATCAATAAGAAGAACCACAAACTGATGTCACTTATTGGTATACGCCACTGATTGAAATTTTCACTGAACTTAACTAAAAATGCATTCGATATTGTTCTTTGATTTTGCATCGGCTGGGCTATTCATCGCCCTATTATAGCTTCTATCTTATGGCTTCAAGCTATCCTTACCACCCTCAAACTCAGCAACATCATACTCTTCAGGATACTTGTCCAACATCTCCTTAAGCTCCTTCATCTGTGCCTTCAAGTCATCTGTCAACTCCTCGTAAATGTCCTCAAACATGCCTCGAATCGGGGGCTTCTTCTCCCGCTCTGCCTCACTAAACGCCTTCAAAATCTCCTTGCGAAGATCACTACGAGCCTCCTTCTCCTTGGCCTCATCCCAGATACCCTTTGCTTCCATCCACTTGCGTAGTCGAGTAATAGGGTTATCACGACGCTTCCAATCTTCGACTTCTACGCGCGCACGGTAGGCGAACGAGTCGTCTGATGTGCTGTGATGAGAGACACGGTAGGTCATGGCTTCAATGAGAATTGGCTTGCCGCCATCTTCAAGAGCCATCTCACGTGCTTTCTTTGTAGCTTCTCTGACAGCCCAGATATCGTTACCATCTATTCGGATGGTATCGATGCCATAGCCAATACCACGGCTGGCGATGCCATCACCACGGTATTGGTCTAGTGTAGGTGTTGAGATAGCATAGCCGTTGTTTCTGCAGATGAAGATAACAGGGCATGATCGTGTGGCGGCAATGTTGAGAGCAGCGTGGAAATCTCCTTCACTAGCCGCGCCCTCGCCAAAGTACGCTACTACCACACGGGCTTTGGAGCTGGGATCTTGAAGCTTTTGCATCTTGAGGGCATAAGCGGCACCAGAAGCCTGGGGGAGTTGTGTCGCTAATGGGGATGAAATGGAATGCTATGCCATTGTGTTAGTTTCGGATTCTTGGTTTTCACTCGCAGTGTACTCACAATATTCAGCTCTTTGCTTCCGTAATGGACAGGCATGCTTCGTCCTCGACTTGGATCGTCCTTGTTGCCAAACAATTGGCTCATGAAATCCTTCGCTGTGAATCCTCGCTCCTTGAATACGCCTTGTTCTCGATATTGGCAAAACATAACATCGTCTTTGTCCAACACGCTGGAACTTCCAATGCTGACGGCCTCTTCGCCAGCGCTAACCATATAGAAACTCAGTCGGCCTTGTCTTTGCGCGTCAAACATAATCAGGTCCATGATTGAGATAAAGACCATATCTTTGTATAGACGGATAACCTCCTCGTCGGATATATCAGGTTTGAACGATTCATCCACCACAACTCCATGCTGGTCTACAACGCGATACGTCGACAAGGCAGGATACGACTCGGGGTCTTCGAATTTGAGAGAGCTTGTGAATGCGCTCTTCAGTGCACCAGGAAAGGAGACAAAATTGGAATTGGGTCGTTGCGATACACTGCTGGCTGATCGGATAGCAAGGGGTGTTACATGTGGTCTAGACAGGGTAGCCCTCCGCAGGGCGACTTGACGCAGAGCTCGAGACTTCATGATGTATGTGTATGTGGGTGATTGTATGTGGAGGGTCAATTGGAACCTGGGCTATGTTTTCTTTTATTCAAATTGCTAGAGCTCAATAGTATGCCAGATAGATAGTAGACCGTATTACCGAGGGGTTGTTGTGTCTGATACCGCGAGGAAGCGACGTCATCCTGAGCCGACTCCAACCCGTGAAAGCCGAGACGGCAAGATAGTAATAAGCCGTGGTTTGACGATGTTCGGCATACTCAGCCAACAATTGTTTCCAAGGGTGTTTTAATCATTCGGTAATCAGTTGGCTCCCTTGTCAGTCCTTACAGCGTGCCTCTTGGCTTGACCGACCATGTATCATGTCATGTTTGATGCCGGCCATGAAGCCCATGATAGCCATGAGGACCCCGACTTATCCCCCACACAAAGTTCTTATCGCTCTACCCCACACTCGCGATAAACTCCAGATCTCCATCGATGGATCCAGTCCTAGCTTTATTAGTATCTGCCACTTTTAAATGCAGCTGTCACCAGCTGTCAGTGAATGTCAACCACAAACAACACACAGCAATATGCACCACGGCAACCAGTAGATAGAATCACTGTCAAAATTGACCAAGCATGCAGTTGAAGTAAAGAGAAATATCTTCAACTTTCCACATTCAAACCTCTACAAAACAACACCGTGAAAGACATCCCCAGCAGTAACATCTAGCCCAACCGTCTGAATCTACTTTCGATATGTCCGTCACTCCGGCAGTAGCCATCGCAATTCTTTTCCTTACCCTCTTCACAATTTTCGCAGTGCTTGCCTGGTGGTTGAAGACCAAGGTGCGCACCTTCATCCGTGCCATCTTCAAGCACCGCCAAGAAAAGAACAAGGGTAATGCTTCAACTGTTGCCAACTCCGGAGAAAGCGTCTAAGGTAAGATGAAATACTTCCATTACCCTTCTTAACTAAACCTAGTCCCTCAATTCGGCATCAAAATGGGTGCCAGCCACAGTGGCCACAAGGCTGGTGCGCCACTGTTCCTGACCCACCGCAAAACTCCAATTGCTCAGCCTCGTATGATTTTCGAACTGACCTCAACCAGAGCTTCCCATAACCTCCGAGGCTCAACTACATTCACAATGGCCTCACGCACAGCTCTCCGGGGCTTCTCCCGCACATTGAACCCCTCGACATGTTCTTCTACTTTCATCCGGCCATTTTGCTCTACCAATGCCGTCCGTGGCAACAAATCAACCCCTACATCTGATCGACCTACCCACTTTGGATATGAGACTGTCACTGAAGCCGAGAAGCAACAGCGTGTTGCTGGTGTATTTACAAATGTCGCCGAG